CCCTAAACCCTAAACCTTAACCCCGAGAGAGAGACAGCCGGGGAGGACAGGAGCAAAGCCTGAGAGCAGCATGCATTAATACGAATGCAGTGCCAGGGCGCTCATGGATTCGGAAGCATCACCTGCTTCCAAGAATAGGCTTCGAGATTCCTTCTCGGCAAGACCTGGGCCTCAGTGCGGTGAAGTGAAGGCCCCTTCTCGGGCTCCCCGATGCAAAGTGGACATGGTGAAATGGTAGGAAGAGATGAGCACTCAGGCTCAGAAACGGACGGGTAATATAGGGGCCTTAACAGGTAGAATAGGGTTTTGGGGGCCATGATACTATACATATAATCCAGGAGCCCCCAAAAGAGCGTTGATAATTATTTAGTCCCCTACATTAACCCAAAGGGTCCTAGGTACTGTTATGGGGGATACTTTCCCAAATCATAATAACAATTCCTAATATAGAAACCCTACATTCTACCCTGTGGGAGTTTCCGAAAATAGGGGGCCCTAATATAGTACCCCAAATAGTAGGATCCTTATTGAAAGGACCCCAAAATAAGGTACCCCTTACCCTAAACCCTAAACCCTGGTACTTTGGACCCTTTGGGTACACGAAGATCCGGCTTTGGGTTTCCACTCTCACCCTCGGCCTCGCCAGATGAGGCTCTGGGTCGCAAAACTTTCAACCGATGCCAGGCTTTAGGGTTTAGGGTTTAGGGTTTAGGGTTTAGGGTTTAGGGTTTAGGTTGAATGAGGGCTTGCCCATCGGCCCCATACTAGTTCCTGGTTGTGGGTTATACTTAGGATCCTATTAGGGAATCCCAAAAAGGAACTACTATGGGGCCTATGGGTGAGGGGTACCTGATTCAAGGGTCCTTGTAATACGAATCCTACAGTTTCTAGTTTCTTCTACGCCCTAGTCCGCCTTAATTGTACCGGGCCGAAGCTTTCACCTACACGTCTTTAGAAAAGGGCACATCAGCAGCATCCATCGCGCGGCGGGCGTGGATGCGCTTCTTACAAGGGCCCCTAACCAACAAAACCAGCAGGTTCACGAAAAGAGGAGACCTGCCCTAAAGCCTCAAACCTTACATCCAACATGGAACTCCGTAGACCCGAACCCCGTCGGAACATCGATCGATTCTGCGCCACCTCTTCGTGCGAGGATGGTGCGGTCGCTGCTCACCAACAGCAGCGATGTGAAGACCACGAGTACGCTCATGGTGTCGGACATTGCCAAACATATGAATGGATCATCTATCTCGCAAACAGTACGCTTGAGGCTGAACCGCTTTCGACAGTCTCGCGGTCAGGACACTCAGTTCAAGACGGAACCAAAAAGCCGTAAAGTATGAGTCCTTAGAGCCTTAAATAAGGTATCAAATACGGCATTCCGGTTTAGAAGGTTCAGGAGTTTGGGTGTTCAAGGATTTAATTAGGGCTGCGAGCTGCAAGAACACAACACCTCGAACCTTCTGGCGCTTCGAGCTTGCAGAGCTTCGGGACTTCAGGGACATTAGGTTTGGACTTGCGTTCAGGGTTCAGGGTTTAGGGAGGCTTGGGGAGAGGTTTGAGGCTGGAAACACAACCCCTACATGAGCACACTTTTGGCATGCCATGAAGAAACTTGCCAGACAGAGAAGTACCGGCATCTAGCACTGTAGCTCCAGCAGGATACAACCCTTGATAGGACCTGTAACCCTTAACGGGAAATCAGGTGTTCGGATCCACAAGTAGCTATATATGCTCCTGGCTATGGCATGGGGGCTTGGAAGCAGGTACACTGCAAACAAGCAAGGAGCCTTTCCCTCGCAAGCCTTGCTGGCTTGCATTGGTAGACTCGGATCCCAGTTTCATTCAGGCTGCAGGTTGCAACCGCACTACGCAGTACCTGCAACAAGTAACCGAAAACATAATACTTGCCCCTCGGCTGCTGCTGCTGCCGCCGCTGCCACTGCGACGACGACGACTACTACGACGACTGCGCCTTGCGCGAGGACGACGCTGACGATGACGACCACCGCCACCGCGGCCACCACCACCACCACCACCACAATGACGACGACTACTGCTGCTGCTGCTGCTACTACTACTACTACGACTACTCCAGGTGGAACGATCAACCATGTCACAGTGTAAATAACTCACTACTAGCACGGAGTGAAAACGTGTAGTGAGAATTCATGCGAAATCTCCTTGTTTGCGAATGGTAGCTTCGTCACATGACCAAGGGCTCAGGACCATCACATCCACGCCAAGTTGCTAGCCCATGCCACTTCGCCCAGACATTCTAAGAAAGCATCACAGGCATCACACGCAATGACCTCGTTCCAGACTTTGGTTGATTTCAGAATGTGAGCGGTTCCAGTTTGGGCAGAATCAGCCCCATCAGTAATCTGAATCTTGTTGTAAGGAACCCCCCCCCACCCCCCCACCCCCCCCCCCACCGTGCAATACGGGCCCTATGGACTACGATCGTACTTTCAGGGGACCCCCCCCCCCCCCACACACAAGGAGCTCTCAATGTAAGATGCACTTTTTTCGCGTCGCACATCGCCAGCAGTGTCCAGGTTCGGGGCCTGGGCCAAGGCGGCTAAGGCTTCTATCTAGAGGGCTTGTACGGGTTCAGGTTTAGTTTTGTAGGGCCTGGCAGTGGAACGGTAGCAATTTCGGGGTTTCTGAAAACACAAATGGTGTCCCAAAGATAGTGCTCCTGCGGTCAGGATTCTATTGCTCAGGGATGCTTAGGGTCTAGATTGAAGATTCCTCATTGTCTGGAACCCTCACCGACTACACTGCACCAGTCCGAGGATGTTAGCAGGTATAAACGGTATTTAACAAACACTGAAAGTGATGATAACCACAAGGAGACCTAAACAAAGAGTTGGTACTAGCACTCACTTTAAGTCTAGTATAATGATCTCATGGCAACGCTACATTCTACACCAGTGTTATCATTAACGAGGCTAGTAACTATTCATAAATCCAGAAAAGGTACCTGGACCGGGATCTCAGAAGTGCCACACAGGCAGCTATCCCACTCCCCGGCCTCTCTCGCCTTGGCCATCCAGTGACATGGCCGCGGTTCTCAGATCGTGCTTGGGCAAAATGGCGGGGCCAAGTTCGCTGTGGAATCATTGCCACTCGATCCGGAACCCTTGTCGTAGAATTCCCGGGCTTTCGCAGAGTCCTGGGAAACGCCGAGGCCGTATTTGTACATGCACGCAAGGCTGAGCGCAGCTCCATAGCTGCCCCTGTCCGAACCCATCTCATACAGCTCTCTGGCCTTGCTGTAGTCCTGCAATTGGGTAATGTAAAGGTGAAACAGGTTCAGGGTTGGGCTAGGGGTCAATCTCATAGAAATCTTTGGCCTTTTGAAAGTCCTGCGGCACCCCGAGGCCATCGCGGTACAAGTGTCCAAGGCTTTCGGGGCACAAGATGTCGCCTCTTGCTATGCCCAGCTCGTAAAGTTCCTTGGCCTTGCCAAAATCTTGGGCTACACCTCTCCCATGCTGGTACATGTTACCAAGCTCAAAGAAGGCTCCAGTGTGACCTTTTTCGAAGAAAGTCTCATACAAGACTTTAGCCTTTTGGAAGTTTTGCTGCACCCCGACGCCATCGCGGTACATGGTTGCAAGGCTGTAAAAGGAAAGGTCGTCGCCTCTTTGAATGCCCAGCTCGTACAGTTTTTTGGCCTTGTGCAAGTCTCGGGCTAAACCCATCCCATACTGGTATATGTTGCCAAGCTCGTATGCGGCTCTCGGGGAACCCCGTTCTAAGGCCGTCTCGTACAGTTCCCTGGCCTTTTGGAAGTCCTGGTGCACCCCGTAGCCATTGCGGTACATGTGCGCAAGGCTTTGGGGGGAAATGGTGTCGCCTCTTGCTATGCCCATCTCGTACAGCTCCTTGGCCTTATGCAGGTCTTGTGTTACACCGTCTCCACGCAGGTACATGGTGCCAAGCCAATTGGCGGCTGAAGCGTCACCCCTATCAATTGCCGTCTCGAACAATTCTTTGGCCTTTTCGAGGTCCTTGCGCACCCCGATACCATTGACATACATGGCTCCAAGGCTGTTGAAGGCAGAAACATCGCCTTTTTGGATGCTCAGCTCGTACAATTCTTTTGCCTTCTGGAGGTTTCGGGCTACACCTTGCGCATTCTCGTACATGTGGCCAAGCCGATGTGCAGCTTGAGAATCCCCCCTTTCCAAAGCCATCTCATACAAGCTTATGGCCTTTTGGAAGTCCTGGGCCACGCCAATGCCATCGCGGTACATTTCCGCAAGAAGAACAGGGGCAAGGTCATCGCCCCTTGTGACGCCCTTCTGATACAGATCGATGGCCTTTCGGACGTCTCGGTCGACGCCTGGTATGAGATATGCAGGACTTGCTGTAGTCTAGGGACCCGTAAGTTTATATTAGGAAACTAGGTTACGCCAAAATTTAGTTGTCCCCCTGTCCCACCTCGCCCCTGCTGGTATGTATACATGGTTCCGAGACTGGCTGGGGCCCGAGTGCTGCCACGCTCCATGCTCCGTTCAAAGAGCCACCGCGCCCATTGCCAGTCGCGAGCCACCCCGAGGCCCTCAAAGTACATGACCCCAAGGTTGTTGAGGAACTGAGGGTCATCGGGATCGAGGAGAATCTGTGTCTGGCTCACTGCTTGCGCAAGATTTTCCTTGGCGCAGTGACCGAAATGCCACGTGGTGGTATCCCGAAACTTCTCTGCAGGCACAGGGGACAGCAAGCGTGCCCTTTCGTACATGACGGAAGTCGCCGCAATCATGTCGCCATTTGTCATGCTGGGATGTGTGTAAAGAATGCGCATCTGCAGCCCGTCACGGAAAGCTTGGACAGCAGCTTTCAGCTCGCCTCTGTAGAAGACAGTGTCGAAAAGAATTTTGTAAGATCTTCCTTGCTGCCCGTGATAGTTGATCGCGACGATGACTTCTGGGGACCTTGCAGCCCAGGTGCTGGCAAACTGCCGGGATGCGCCCACCCAGAAGGCTTTGACCTGCATGGCAAGTTCACAGGCATAACTGCGAAGGGGAAGATTGCGGTGCAGAAAAGGCTTTGGGTGTGATGAAGGTCGTTCCTCGGGACATTTGGGCTTTGCTAAACCCCGCACCCTGAATCCTGAAACCATGCACTTATACCTGTTTGAAACGGGCCACCCGCCTTCGGCAGGCTGCAAGATTTCAGGGTATTCACACCGGGAGCATTCAGGAGCTGGCCGAGCCGGGTGTCCGGATCCTCCTCTCCGAGAAATATAAAAACATAGACTAGTTCCCGCAGCATTTTTTGAGCATAACGGTACCCTTCGGTACCCTTTTCTCCTACTAACTATTCACTTCTATCTGGAAGATCCCGCCAACATAAAAACGAGCACGAGGGTACTACTTGTCCCGGACTACCATCGGGATCCCATCCTGGCTTTGCAAGACGCAGCCGCCCTGTTGTCGCAATGGTCGAAGAACGTCTTCACGCTCTTCATCTTGATAGCCACTCCACAACAAGAGGTGCGTCTTCTCCTAGAGTCTGCCAAAACAAGAAGGACAGGCTTCGCTTAAAACAGCCCCGTCTTTGTGATGAAAGGAGACTTAGGCCCTGCATCAAGCGAGGCGCGCTGCCGCAGGTCAGCAGCCTCTGGCTCCAGACCTCGTAGTCTCCATCGCTGACAACAGCTTCAGCCTCCAAGGATGCGGAGGAGCGCAGGGAAAGTGAAGTTCTACAGAAAATAACTCGGTAGTTAACAGGGCCTGCATCCCTAAAGCGTAATGTTCGCCTGTGATTAACAAGTGCTACCAATCCTCCTTCCCATTATTATTCCAACCCCCTCAATCGTTNNGGGGGTTATTAATCACACCCACACATCACTATCCTTTACTGTAGCAAATATGTTTTGCCACAGCGCGTTATACCCTAAACCCTATACTATATCATACTGATTCCCTCCAACCTCGGCTTCGCAGCCTCCAGCAGAGACCGGCGCGCCTTTTCGCCGGTCCTGACTTGCCAGCAAGGGTTATAACGAGTCGTAGGGGTTTAGGGTTGAGGGTATCAGGTCTAGGGTTTATGGTTTATGGTTTAGGGGTTTACGGTTTCAGGTTTCAGGCTTAGGGTTTCAGGTTTATGGTTTAGTAGGGTTTATGTTTCCGGTAGTAGATAAGGGCCTTGTTGGAGCAGCCGAGCGGAAGCCCTTACGGTTTCGGGGTTTTCAGAATCTAGAAGCGGGTGTTTGGGGCTCAGTGCATGGGGTCAGTTTACCCATATAGGGCCCATAGCAGTTCCTTTTTGCATTTGCCTTATCGGATTCTAAATATAAACCCCCAAAAGGAACTACTATGGGTAGGGCTACAGGATTTCTAGCCTTTAGGAGATCGAGGTTCTGGGGCCCTAAACCGTGAAGGCCCTGCGTGCTCCTCTTCGCAAGCATTCTGTATCTCCTGCTTCAGTCTTCGAAGCTCTCCTTCACAGCCTGGGAGTCCAACTTAACAGATCATATCATGCAGCATATATATATATATATATATTAAAGCAAAATACAATATAGTATGATTGAATATACTGGAATAAAGTCGAATATAAACACGTAGACAATGCAATATGACAGAATACAACATACTATAAAATCACATGACTACGTGTACTACAATGGTATATGACATTTTCAAATAATGCCATCATATCCTATCTTACCTTATGTTGTAGTATAAGATAGAAAGTATAGTAGGATATGATACAACACAGTATAATAATATAACAGAGTATCGAAAATCTAATATAAACTTAGTGGTAGATGGAAAGTATAGCACGGTGTAGCACAATATGATATACCATCACAAAACCGAGTATGACATATGCATTGTAATTCTGAGACAGACAGGGACAGGGAGATGAGAGGGATAGAGAGAGAGAGAGAGAGCGACAGAGAGAGAGAGAGAGTGAATGAACTAGTTAGACTACTTAGAGCCTCACAGAGAGACAGAGACCGAAAGAGAGAGATAAAGACAGAGAGACAGAGAGAGAGAGAGAGACCTTAAACAGAGAAAGAGACAGAGAGAAAGGGAGAGTGACAGACAGAGTTTTTCTAAGGATTTCGTAAATGAGGGTTTGATCTGAAGTTTCCAGCATCTCCGGAGAACATGAAGGAAAGTGAGCGGGAAGAATGCCGGAGAATTGCAGAGTGAGCAAAAGGCAGAGAACACGAAAATCAAGACAGCGACAGATGCGGAGCGAGAGAGAAACGAAAAACAAATATATAGAACGACACAGAGGAGCGACAAAAAGAAAGAGGGAGAGACAAAGCGATCGAAAGACGAACAAAGACAGAGAGCGAGAGCGAGACCGAGTCAGCGAGAGAGGGAGAGGACAAGGGACTGCAAAAAGATCTCTTTACAAATGCAATGCCGGGACACCGAAGGATTCGGAAGCTTCACCAGCGTCCAAGAATAGGCTTCGAGATTCCTTCTCCGCGATGCCTGGCTGAAAAAACCCAAACAAAGGCAATAATATTCGAAATCTTACACCCCAAGCCCTCGAAGACTTGAACCACGCCAACGTAGCAGAAGCCGCAGCAACACGAGCATGGATGTGCTGCCTACTGAAACCCCAACCAAAACGCCAGCAAAGCCAAAAAAGGACCGATACTCTAGTCCAAATCCTCATGGACTACAGTCTAAATCCAAGAACACAGGAACTCTGTAGACCCAGTCCCTTGGAACATCGATTCTGCGCCACCTCTTCGACCGAGGATGGTGCGGTCACTGCTCACCAACAGCAGCGAAATGAAGACCACGAGCGCGCTCAATGCGCCAGACATACTGTTGATGGACAAAATTCTGCACGACCCAAATATAGTATAGTACCATAAATCCCATAGTTTAGGTATATAAGGTCATGCAGGATTTTGTCCATCAGCCGTATGAACATGTACTTTCGCAAACAGTACGCTTGAGGCTGAACAGCTTTCGACCAGATCGCGAAAGTCCGAGTTTAAGACCAACTATGCCTTTATACCCATGTGGAAAGCCTAATGGCTTAACTTTTCACATAAGGCCCCCGTTCTAAAGCTCCTGATCTGCGCAAGAATCTCTGATCAAACCGTTCTACATGCTGTGCTCAGGGACAGCGGCTTTAGCCTAAACCCCTAAACCCTATACCCTAAACCCTAAACCCTAAACCCGCTTGCATGGTCGGGAGTTCGAGTTTGCCCTTCGGAGAGTTCGGCTGCAAGCCCAAATCCCCAGGTGAGCGCAGAACTGGCATGTCGTGACGACACTTAAAATGGGGGGGGCCTGAATCACAGAGCGGGGCCGTGGGGTAGATCGGTAGATCACAGCAGCACTATATCAGTATAATTTTTACGGAACCCCTAAGGAATAGTATTGGTGATTGTTTCTAGCTTCTCTGTGACCCCGCAAAACCCGTAAGCAAAGGCTACAGACTGGACAAATGACCCCAGAAAGACAGCACGTAACTCTAGAAACAGCAGGTTTGGATCCGCAGGCAATTGCATAGGGTCCCAGTAGAGTATGGGGACCTGGAGGCAAGTCTCTAGCAAAACCACTCCCTCATTCATAAGTCTTGCTGGCTTGCATTGGACTCGCAGATCCAGGGCAGCCTCGGGACACACTACCCATAGGCTCCAAAGTGGTTCTTTTTGGTGGTTCATATTTGGGATCCCAATAGGTAATCCCCAAAAGGAACTACCTTGGAGCGTATGGGTAGACCCTATAGAACCCTAGAATCGCAGTGCTCTGGACCGAGAGCTTCTGTTTGCATTCAAACTTGGCACAAAAAGCCTGAATCACGGGTTTAGGGTTCAGGGTTTAGGATTTAGGGTTGGATACAGTAAGACCTAGACCTAAACCCAAATAATGACTGAAGCAGTACCTGCAAAGAAGCAGCCAAGAACAAGTGCGAGTATGACTGAAGTGTGTGTGCTCAGCGCCTGCGCCAGAGGCATTGTCTGGCGAAGGGCCCCTGCTGCAGCAGCATACATCACCTTTTGCAGGACTACCGGAACAAGAGTAGTACTATAGGGGCCTTAATAATTAGAAATGGCGTTTTGGGGTATAATATACTGTAATTTCTGTAATTAGAATAAGGAACCACCCAAAATGGTATAGGTAATTATTTAGGCCTCTATATTGCACCCCGAACAGTACGTCGGACATCCTCAAAACCAGAATTCCACACCCCAAACACTCAAAATCTTAAACGGTCTAGGGCGTCTAGGGTTTAGAGCAGTCTCGAACCCCAAGACATGCATCGGAGCGATTAGTTCAGGACCGCAGCAGAAAGGGCAAGCGGCTTTCACTGACCTGCTCTCCAACCTTCCTACCAATAAACGGCAGGCTTTAGGGATCAACCCAAGCCCCAAAAACGCCAACCCCATCCCATCGGTGACCCAGTTTTCCCGAAGGCACTACCCATCCAAAGGAGCCCAGGAAGCACACAATACGCCGCAAGAATGGTGTACAAACCCCATCCCAGGTCGTTAACCAGCCTGTGCCTGTCTGTAAATGCTATACTTGATAAGGATATGCCTTCAAGCAATGTGAGCCAACCGGGGTTCAGGGTTTAGAAACCACAAACCCCTAGGAACCCTGAACCCTCAGGGGTTCCTAAAAAGCTTCCCGCAACTCCCTATACTCTAGGAGCCTTATAATTGTACATTCTACTAAAAATATAATAAGGACCTCCCAAAACCCTATTCTAACTACTAAGGCCCCTACATGAACCCTGAACCAAGAACGCCTGCAGAAAGCGCGAGAAGTCTTCGGAGGCGGTCAGGGCGGACCTTGAGAGTCTCGGGCTGCCGAATCAAAGCTGGCAGGGTTTGGGGTGTACTGATCCCCAACCCCCCAGGTTCCTACTATATTATTATATTGGGTTCTGGAGCCCCTAGGGCCCTCTATAGTAGGTACCTGGAGGGTTGGGGGATAATAAGACAATGACAATAAGATGGCTACTTGTAGTCATTTGATGATATTCACGATACCAGCGATGTATAAA